TCAGCCTCCCAAAGTGCTGGGATTACAGGCGCGAGCCACTGCGCCCAGCCAACATTTTAGTATTAATCCTGAGCTTTGACATCTCCACCAAAGCATCGCCATCACACAAGATCATGCAGAAACAGTCAGCCTTCCAACTTATCCTCATCACTCATTCTAGAAATGCAATGTGGATTTTGTGTTTATCCAGTTGTAAGTTATTCAAATACATGGACTATGACTTCCACTTCTTGTGTATCCTCCACACCACCTATCACATTATTGACATGTCAGAGACACTTAGTAGATGTTTGTGGTATTGTTATTTCTGCCATGGTACCCTCCAATGTTAGAAGGTCTACCAGTCTTCACCCAACTACCACCACCCACATGTGGTGGTGTCTTCCCAGCACCAATCCTAGCTGCTAAACTCTTGATCAAAACCAGGGAGTAATTGTAGACTAATGTTTTGTTTTGTCCCCAAACCTCAACCCCCTCAACACTGCACTGTTCCCCTCAGTGTATACATTTGCTCTCCTAGCTCTGAACTACTGAAAAAGAAGCAACAGAAAATGACACCCTTACTCACCTCTTTTCTGGCAGCTAAATTTCTAGAAACTCAAAGTGCACTGCCTGAAAGCCAGAACATCTGCATCAACAGCATTAGTAATATTAACTACTTTTATTAGAGGCTTCATTTATATCAGGCATTGTACTAAGCACTTCAGAAGGATCACCTTGTTTATTCTTCTTAATACACCTATGAAGTATGTTCTGTAGCTTGGGGACTGTTTTCCATAAATCCCACATTGGATCTGTTATGGAAAAGAGAACTAGGATTCCTAATGAGGCCTTGCAGTGGGAATGAGAAAGAAACAGCAGTGATGATGACTAAACCCCAGGCAGTCAAGAGAATGTCCCTAGGAGAGATAGATGACAACACCCAGGATCAAATACTCTTTGCCTCCTTACCTTAGGGCTATTCAAGGAAGAGGGAAGATTTTGTGTATATGGGCTAAGTGAACCTGAATTAACTGAGATTGTTTTCCTTAATAGATGAATTAGACATTCATAATAGAAATTAACTCCAGTTATGAAAAAATAAACCTGTATTTCTTGCACAACTCTATTTGTGGACTCACATAATAATATCACCCTTCTGCTTCTGGAAAAAATAAAAAATACAAAATCCTGAGATTCTGACATTAACATGCCTGTCCATGATCATACAGCTATTTATTGATGGTGTCCAGATTTAAAGTCATAAGGTCTAAATCCAATCTTCCAGAAAGTATGCCCTCTCTGTGTATCTTCGGGTCATCAAGGAAAGGTGAAAATGTATGTGGCTCACAGCACTGTTTGATAAAAATCTAATTCAAAATACATATATAATTTTAAGTTTCCTAGCAGTCACAATTTAAAAAGTAAAAAGAAACAGGCAAAAATAACTTATAACATATTTCTTTTTAAAAATAGGTATATAAAATATTACCGATTTAACATGTAATCAATGTTTTTAAACTTTTAATAAACTATTTCACATTCTTTTTTAATATAAAGTCTTCAAAATCTGGTGTGCATTTTATACTGACACTACATCTCAATTCAGCTTAGACACATTACAAGTGCTCAATAGCCATGTGTGGCCAGTGGCTACTGTATTGGTCAGTGCTGGCTCAAGTGAAAGAGTAAAGTGATGATACAAATTCATCAGAAGGGACACTTTATGGTCCCCACTCATGTTGCCCCCAGATACTCATTCCAGGAATACTCTTCCTGCATTCCACACTATGCAGCAGGAAGCACAGCCCTCCTGTCTTTCTCAGAACTTTACCTTCTTTGAAAGAAAGCTAAGATTTTTCAGGAGTCGAACTTAACATTTTCTTCCAGTAAGACAACTTTCATTTTAAAAACGTCTCTCATTTTAGTTAACAGCTTTATTGAGGAATAACTGACATACAAAAACTTACTTTTATATAGGGAGAAAAGTTTTATTTTGCCTTAGTAACTGTCCTTGGTTTTATTGATGAACTCAGTTAAGTCTTGCCACCTATAAGGTAGGTACCACTAGTGTTATTTATCCAATGTCCTAACATCAGGAAATTGAGGCTCAGACTATTGAGAGAACTCGTCCTAGGCGATTCAGCTAGAAAATTGGGGCATCTGAGTTCAAAACTAAATAGGTTGCCTCCACTTCGCAATACTGTAAATATCAGGAGAATCTGTTTTTGTATTTTTGGGCCATAAAATGTGAGCAGCAGAAATGGGGAGGTGGGAGCATTTTAATATAATTACCTTGCAAAATAGAAGAAACAAAAATGTCTTTATGCAAATTTCTAGCTAAGCAGTCAAATTAGCATACCTTGTTATGCTTTCTATTGTTTTATGTAATAATCTGGCAATTTGGCAATTGCATAAAAGGATATGTACCGATGATTCTAATAACAGATAATGCCTTTGGGTAATGCCTATTTACTTATATATGCATTTGTTTGGCCATTAGGTGTCTTATAACTTTAGTATTTGTAAACGATGAGCTTAATAATAATTTGGCATGTTTGCTGAACACATCACAAAGTGGGAGTACTTTATAAGACAGAATAGTGTGAGATTTTTAGTATTATGCTCTCATGATACATTCAAGCACTTTTGAAACTGTACTGAAAGTTTTCATGGATGTACTCCCCCCAAAAGAGCAATTTCTGCAATATTTTAGAAATATGAGGGCTGCCAATATTTTTCCTCTAAAGAGGTTCCTTCCCTCCTCATAACCTGGTCACCACTGTCCACTCTCGCCTTTGTCACCATTAACTAATATGGAGAGAATCCCACACACACCTAAGTTGCATTCTTCCTAGATGCAGACGTGCCTGAGCATTTCTGGAGAATGGATGAATCAGAGCCACAAGGAATCAGTTTGAGAAAATTAAAAATAGCCTTAGAGCAAAGAAAGAGAAGTGATGTTTACTGTTTCATCTAATAAAAATGCCCTGAGTAAAAGAGTGCGAGGAGTGATATAAAGCGAGTGTGTCTCATCTCGTTCTGTGACTTCCTCTCTTCCTCATAGGCTCTCTCTTCCTTCTGTCTCTCCGGGAACCCGAGGGGAGGAGCCTTTGGCAGAAATATAAGACAGCTGCCTAGCTCAAAGGTCTGAGAGATACTGAGCACACAAAATAGCACTACTTTTGAACTTCGGAAGACTATAGAACAAGAGTGGGATTTTTTCGCATTTGGAAATGAAGCCAATACAGATCTAAAAAGTCAAAAAACTTGGCGAAGCCTTGACATACCTAGAGCACTAGCACATCAGCAGTGACCAAGACATGTCTCAACACAGAGCATTGCCCCAGTGACCTCAGCTGGCCTTAACAAGGCAAGAGCAGCCACCTCAGGGCAACACATTCATGAGACACCTACATATACACAAACAAGCAACACGTGGCAGCCTGCATCTCCTAGAGTCCAGCTAAAGAAAGGAAAGTGTTTGTGTGGTGGCCAAGAAAACTGTTTGAACACCTATGGGAATTTACAGGAACTCCCAGAAATAGTTGAGATAGGGACACCTGGAAGCGGCTGGAGATCTCACAAAGGCAGGTATACAGTCAAAGAAATAATTTACATGACCACTGCTATGAGCCTAATTTTTTTCCTAGCTTTGTATGGTCTGGGCATGGGTTATACCCTGACTCATTAAGCCCTATTATCACATTAGCACTGTGCTAATCCCTCTACTGTTAGTTACTCAGACTCCAGCTCATCTTAAATGCCCACTGATGCTCAATTAAGCTTTCCTGAACACAAGAAGGAAAATTAATGTGTCAGTGGAGGACAGGATGAGGAGGATGGGCCAAAGGAGAACACTGTTGTAGGAGACGCTAGGAAAGGAATGGCAGTAGGATGGGTTATGGAATTGTGTTGGAGGACCCATCCTGCAGTAGCAGACCGCCGGGGCTCCAGTGATCACGGTGAGTCCTGACCCTGGAGCTGGGAAAACAAATGCTGAATGGAAGCCTCCCTGTTAGTCAAGTCCTAAATTGAGAAGGAAGGAAGCAGACATGATTGGTATTCTTGCAATTAATTATTATCAATACAAGTTAGAACCAACAATCCCATCTAACAAATCAAAAATGTAGTAGGAATTTCATTGCTTTATGGGGAGTGGTTTTTTTTTCAATGTCTTATGCTTGCTTTAACAGAAATTTCTCTCAGTTCCCCAATTCTGTAACTGAGCAACAAATGCCACACTATTTCAGAAATTCAAATTATTTTGCGTAAATAAATAGGAAAATGATTCGTTTTTTCAAACTTCCCTAAACAAGGGAGCTGCCAAAAACAGTAGGAGCATTTGTCCACAAGAGGGCGCCAGAAGCTGACGGTTTCTGAGTTTGATGACAAAGTTAAAGGAGGAAAAACACCAAGTAAAAAGCGATAGGTAGATGTATCTGGTTCACATGCTTGCCTTATGCTAATGCTTACATGGTATTGAACTCCCTTTAGAGATTCAGGATGTTAAATATGTAAATAGCAACCTCTGAGCAAGGGAGATAGTGGTATCATTCTGTTAAAATTGCCTTGCAACAGTGGGGTTTTTAAAAATGAATTAATTTGAATAGGTTTTCCTCCACTTAAAGGGGAACTGGAAATGGCATTTCAATTATTAGAATCATTGATACATGTCTTTTTATGCAATTGCCAAATTGTTACATAAAACAATAGCAATCATAACAAGATATCTACCGAAGTATATCATTGTTAATTTGCTAAGCAATGCCAATTGTAAGGATTTGGATTTGAAATGAAGCTGCAATGTAGAATACAAACAGAAGATTTCAGAATACTCTATTATAAAAAGAGAGAGAAATAACGTTGTTTTTAAAAGGGAGAGGAGACAATATGTGATAGCAAATTACAGTAGAAATAGATTTAATGTTTTTTTTTTTTTTTTAAAGAAAAGGTCAATGGTACCGAGGAACTAAGGGCTCAGCTATTTTCAGCAGGAGCATGTGGAACTGATGACTGTATGACAGGTGCACACCATATAATTTTACTCATATTATTCAGTATCTCACAACTGTATTTAGTTACTTTTACATGTAAATAATAACAGTGTTAATGAGTTATATCATTTCATTGTATCTTATATTTCTCCTTTCGGCACTTAAAATTGTAACCAAAACACCACACCCTTTATTTTATTTATTTATTTAACTATCTGTTTGCTTACTTCCAGAGACAGAGTCTGACTCCGTCACCCAGGCTGGTCTTGATCTCCTGGCCTCACGATGTTGCCCAGGCTGATCTTGATCTCGTGGCCTCAAGTAATCCTCCCACCTCAGCCTTCCAAAGCACTAGGATTACCAGCATAAGCCACCTCACCCAGCCTACACGCTTTATTATGTAAGGGTAGGGTAGTATCCTTGATAATCCTAGAGTCTTGTGGGCCAGTCAGGCAGACACAGAATTTAAAAGGATAAACAAATGGACAGTGGAATCTTGGAGTGGATTCTCTATTTAATTCATCTCTTAGCGTATTAGTTTTCTATTGCCACATAATTAGTTATCTCAATACACAGTGGCTTAAACCAACACAGATTTATTATCTCATAGTTTCTTCGGGTGAGGAATTCAGGAGAATCTTAGCTGGTGTTGCCTTAGGGTTCCCCATAAGGTTGTAGTCAAGATACCAGCCCAGGCTGTAGTCATCTGAAGGCCTGAATGAGAGGAAAGGATCCACCTCCAAGATTGCTCACTTGGAGGGGGGTCTCAGTTCTTCACCTATGGACCTCTCCACAGAGCTGCTTGAGAGTCTTCACAACATGGCAGCCGTCTTCTCCATGATTAAGTGGTCCAAGAACCACATGTCTTTCATGATCTAGCCTCAGGACAAACTCCATCATTCCCACAATATCCTATTGGTTACACAGGTCAGCCCTTTTCAATGTTGGAGGAGACTATATAAGAACATGAATACCAGGAGGCTAGAATCCTTAAGGGCCATCTTGATGTCTGGTGCCACACCTAGCTCCTCCAGTGTTCAAGGTATTTATGGCATCCCCATATGGCCAACATAGATGTAGGCAGAAAAGTATCTTTGCCGAAGGCCTTTTCTATCTCCTTCCTCCCACAGCCTCTGCAACCCTCTTCATATCCCTTTTCTCCTTGCCCTCATCTCCTTCAACCAAACCCCATGAGTCAGTCGTCTGGTCCTTCCTTGTTCGGCTCCTTCACATTCCATTGCCAAGTTGTTGCAGAGATTTTCAGTTGCTGAAGGCAGAAGAGAGAAGAGAAAAAAATCTTCATTAAGGTCAGTCTTTTACATTTTCGGTATAAGGCCATTAGCTTCTTCATACTACCACATATTAGTATATTGTTTGCACTTTATTGTACTAAAGAATACCTGTCTCCTTTTTGAATCAAATTTGCCACAGCCTTGTATTCTGGCTCTCAATAAGAGTCAGTCTTCACATGAGACATGTGGTGGGGAGATGAGGGGAGGGGAGTCAGAAATCCATACTGCCACACAACAATTGCAATCCACAAATTACGTGTAGATTATTCCTTTGGTATACATCTTGTCTAGTAAAATATAAGCTTGCAAATGTACACAGTGATTACTTAGGAGAAGATTAGAGATTCACTGAAGAGGGGGAGTTTTTGAAATGAATTAAAGGAAGAGAATACCATGGTGTCTCCCTTCACCTACATGAGAGGACAGGGGTGTGTTTCCCTAAAAGCAAGCCAAGGAAAGGGGACCCTAAGAGGACCACTCAGAGATGAAAGTTTTCTCCAAGAGATAGTTCACTCCTTAGGTGGAAGTTTGCTGAGTGGCAACGCTCTGTAGGCAAATTGATGAGAGTATTTGGGGAAGCTCTGACATGTCTCCAGGTATTTCTCCATGCATGAAGAAATGAAGGCACTCTAAAGGAATCTGTAAGCAGGAGACCACTGGAACAGCCCATAATGGTAGAGTAAGAACAGACACTTACAGGCAAAATGGCCTACACCTCCAGCATTTAGCTGGCCCTAGATGCATGAATTTTCCCATTTTCCATCATTTTGCCTGCTCTGGGAAGGAAACTGCATGAGTCTAGCAGGGTAAGAACTGAGGTCAGCCAGTAAGAGCATTACAAACACCAGGAAACTACAGTGCAAAGATCCCTGTGGGCGGAGAGGAAGGCAGAGAACACAGAAAACCATCCCACAAAAGAGAACTAGTGATGAACACCTGCCAAGGTAATCGGCATTGGTAAAACAGCCCCAGGCCAGACACAGCGGCTTATGCCTGTAATCCCAGCACTTTGGGAGGCCAAGGTAGGTGGGTCACTTGAGGTCAGGAGTTCGAGACCAACCTGGCCAACCTGGTGAAGCCCCGTCTGTACTAAAAATACAAAAACTTAGCCAGGCATTGTGGCACATGCCCGTAATACCAGCTACTCGGGAGGTTGAGGCAGAAGAATCGCTTGAACCCAGGAGGCAGAGGTTGCAGTGAGACAAGATTATGCCACTGCACTCCAGCCTGGGCAACAGAATAAGAGTTCATCTCAAAAAAAAAAAAAAAAAAAGGAAGGAAGAAAGGAAGGAAAGAAGGAAGGGAGGGAGGGAGGGAGGGAGGGAAACAGAGAGAGAAGGAAAGAAAGAAAGAAAAAGAAGGAAGGAAGGAGAGAAAGAAAGAAAAAGAAAGAAAGAAAGAAAGAAAGAAAGAAAGAAAGAAAGAAAGAAAGAAAGAAAGAAAGAAAGAAAGAAAGAAAGAAAAACCCAGAAAAAAAAGAATAATAATGAATCCCATAAAATATCCAGTAACACCTAACAATTACTGAGTAAATGCTTTACATAAATCAATTTATATGATTCTCAGGACTATAAGTCATTATTTAAAAAGTCATTATTGGGATTGTGAGGAAGGGACACTGTGGAGACACATAACCAAGGTGACCAAGCTAGTGGGTGGTAGGGGCTCCGACCCCAATTCTCTCACTCAAGAGTTCATGATCTTAACCCCTTTTTACTGCCTCCTTTTTAACCTCTTTACCTCTCATCACACCCCTGCCCCCGACCTGGACGCTGGAAGAGCCAAGAACAGCGTAGTGAGCTGGAACTGAAAGAGGATGTGAAATAAGGAGACAGAAAAAAGAGTTAACACCTCACCTGTCCCCACCCACATCACTAATTCCTGAAACAGCGTCCAGCTGGAGGCTGAGGCAGGAGAATGCATGAACCCGAGAAGTGGAGGTTGCAGTGAGTGAGATCACAGCACTGCACTCCAGCCTGGGCAACAGAGCGAGATTCAATCTCAAAAAAAAAAAAAAAAAAACAGAGTCCATGCTAAGCCTAAAGGGAAAAATTTTTAAACTGGAGGCAAGATTAGAATGCTGGTTTAGAATGGACTTTTAAACACTTGGTGGCCGGGCGCCGTGGCTTACGCCTGTAATCCCAGCACTTGTGGAGGCTAAGGTGGGTGGATCACCTGAGGTCAGGCGTTTGAGACCAGCCTGGCCAACATGGTGAAAGTGCATCTCTACTAAAAATACAAAAAGTTGGCTGGGCATGGTGGTGCATGCCTGTAGTCCCAGCTACTCAGGAGGCTGAGGCAGGAGAATCTCTTTGAACCTGGGAGGCGGACGTTGCAGTGAGCCGAGATCGTGCCACCAGACTCCAGCGTGGGCAATAGAACAAGATTCCATCTCAAAAAATAAATAAATAAGGCCGGGCTTGGTGGCTCAAGCCTGTAATCCCAGCACTTTGGGAGGCCGAGACGGGCGGATCACGAGGTCAGGAGATCGAGACCACCCTGGCAAACCCGGTGAAACCCCGTCTCTACTAAAAAAATACAAAAAACTAGCCGGGCGAGGTGAGGGTCGCCTGTAGTCCCAGCTACTCGGGAGGCTGAGACAGGAGAATGGCATAAACCCGGGAGGCGGAGCTTGCACTGAGCTGAGATCCGGCCACTGCACTCCAGCCTGGGCGACAGAGCGAGACTCCGTCTCAAAAATAAATAAATAAATAGATAAATAGATAAATAAATAAATAAACACTATTAATGACTGACAAACTAAGAGATCTGTTAAAAAAAAAAATGCTGTCAAATAGTGGAAAAGGAGAAGTCCAAAAATCAGCAGTGATATATAGTGGTGGAAAAATAAAGCTATTTTCTGATTATATACTATGGAATCCAGATCATTCAATAAATGCTTACGCTTTTATAGCTGCCTTTAGTAGTTTGAAACTGACAAAGTTGTGCTTATCCTTCTGCCATGCAGATCAAGAGAATTAACTCACCAATGTGTGGAGAAGATTAATTTTAGTCATAAATTTATTAAAATATAAGTCTGGAAGGACCTTGAGAAGTATCTATCTATTCTCCTTTCAAAAGAATGTGTTAAGTCTGACCAATAATGAAAAATAATTGGGCACACAATGTAAATGAAATATAAAGGAAAAATGATGATTGTTTTCAAAGAGTAATTGAATCATGACTTAATAAGAAAAGAAAAAACTAATAGGATATTTGCATGTTTTTTCAAAAACTCATAACTCTGAAAATTTACAACTTTAAAAATTTTTCTTATTAACTGATTCATCTTTTTACTTTAATACTGGCAGTAACAATAAATAACTCAAAATAGTCAAAGCTGTAGGATACATGGTGAAATATTCTAACTTCCATAAACCACAACTCAAGAGTTTGAAATAAGTTAGACAAAGAACCTTTATTTTTCTTCTGTTCACAGATATAAACCATTCTTTAAAAAAAAACAGATTTTCTAAAGACCTCTTTTGTTTCTAGCAGGTTTACACATCTAAAACTCTCTCAACAATTCTTGAGGAAAAAAATGTCAAAAACATTGATATTTTGTACCAGATTATTTTTACCTATTTTTACTCTGCTCATTATGATGAATCATGAAAAATTCTTTCCTTAATATTTTTTTATTGACTAAATGACTTTCCTAAGATATTTTACATATAAAAGAGGTCTCAAGAAAAAAAAAAAACACCCTTGTTAGAAAACCTAATTTGTCTACATAGTCTTTAAATTTCACTAATCTTGGAAAGGAGGTAATCTCTGGATGAGAAAAGAAGCCATTTCAAGGAGCTGAAACCCCAAACAATGGTTTGGTCTGGAGTTTGTAACTGCGCTCACAGAGGGCACAAAAATAACCGCTACCTCATTTTGCTTCCTTCCTGACCTATTGTAATTTACAAGTGTTATATATATTTTGAAAATTAATTTTGTCAGCATCTCCATTTTGAACTGAGGATAAAATTGAAGGGAAAGAATTCCAACATTTTTACTAACAGTAATAAATGTTAGGCCATATCTCCAGAAATTCTGAGTTGTAATGCATCTTGGGCGAAAACTGAATATTAGTATTTTTTAAATCGTCTCCCTAGGATGAGAATCACTGCTCTGGTTCATTTGTATATGCAGGTATGCCTTGTTATTCCTTTATTAATAAGACCTTATGTCCAAACCTAAAGAGTAGGTAGATGCAAACCTCCAGCTATACCTTCATGCAGAGTCTGCCTTGTGTGTTCAACATTCCTGTAATTCTGCAACTACACTGTTCCTGGTCATTCGCTGTAGTTTTCCGAGTATTATAACACATATCTTAATTGTGAATCTAAATGAGTCCTAAATGGAATTTAAAAGCTGTTTTTTAAACCATTAAACATATTAGGTGCCTAGACACTACACATTCATTGAGCCTTTGCTAAAACTGAAATTAGGGTCTTGTTTTTACTTCAAATGACCCTTATTACAAATGTATTTCATATTCATTGGAATGACATTTGTATTTAAATGCATGTGTATTTATTTCTGTAAATATTTCATTAATTCAGTCTTTGATAAAAAGTTGTTGATACTTCCTCAATTGCTTTATTTGGATGGAGATGAGTCCTCCCTTCTTTCAGAAGATCTCTGAAGCTGGCCTGATCAAGAGTTCTGGGTACATAAGGCAAAGTCTATGGTCTCATTTTGCCATACAAGTCAATCATCATTATTGCAACTGAATCCTCACTTGGTGAGAAAATCAGGAAAATGTTCATTCTCCAATTATAATGTGGCATATAAAACTGCACAATAATGGCAAACATAGACCTGGAAGCTAAGTAGGAAAAATCATTTTCCATTTGTAAAATATAAGGGTGTCTTTTCAACCAGCAAGGCCATCGAGTCTTTTATCTAACTGCTGATGTTAAAAATTAAATATAAGTATTTATGCATTTTTAATTCAACAAGAATAACAGTTACTATTTAACTA